GCATGCCCCACATGAAAGAACAAAACAGAGCTCCAGAAAAATATTTAAACAAAGTGGAGTCAAATAACCTAACAGATGCAGAGTTCAAAACACTGGTTATAAGGATGCTCAATGAACTTAGGGGAAGAGTAGATGAACTCAGTGAGAACTTTAACAAAGAGATCAAAAACAAAAATGAAGATAAAAAATATGAAAGGGAACTGGTCAGAAATGAAGAATACAATATCTAAGATGACAAGCACATTAGAGGGAATCAACAAAGTGGATGAAGAGCAAGATTGAATCACCAATATAGAGGAAGGGGTAGCAGAGGACACTCAATCAGAACAGCAAAAGAAAAAAGAATCCCCCAAAAGAAGATAATTTAAGGAGACTATGGGACAACATCAAGTATAACATTCATATCATAGGGATATCAGAGGGAGAAGAGAGAGAGTAAAAAGTTGAAAACCTACTTGAAAAAATAATGATGGAAAACTTCCCTAACCTGATGAAGGAAATAGACATACCACCCCAGGAAACTCAGGGAGTCCCAGAAAAGATGAACCCAAAGAGGCACACACCAAGACACATCATAATTAAAATGTCAAAGGTTAAATACAAAGAGAGAATCTTAAATGCAGCAAGAGAAAAGCAGTTAGTTACCTACAAGGGAACACCCATACAACTGGCAGATGATTTCTCAAAAGAAACTTTGTAAGACAGAAGATCTTGGCACAAAAAAATTCAAAGTGATGAAAACCCAGAATCTACAACCAAGATTATTTTATCCAGCAAAGCTACCATTCAGAGTCAAAAGATAGATAAAAAGCTTCCCAAACAAGAAAAAGCTAAGACTCAGAGTTCATCACCACCAAGCCAGTATTATGGGAAATGTTAGAGAGACTTCTTTAAGAAGAAGAAAAAATATGTATCAAAAATTGTATAAAGAATGGCAATAATTACATATCTATCAACAAGTTCTTCAAATGAAAAAGAATTAAGTGCTCCAATCAAGATATAGTGGCTGAATGGATGAGAAAATTATATATACTGCCTACAAGAGTCTCACTTCAGATTAAAAGACACATACAGACTGAAGACAAAGGGATGGGAAAAGATATTGAATGATGGTCCTAGAGAGTGTTGAGCGGAATGAAGTTAAGAAAGACAAATGCCATATGATTTCACATGCATGTGGAATCTAAAGAACAAAATTAACAACAACAACAACAGAAACAGAAACAAACTCATACAGAGAACATTTTGAGGGTCACCAGATTGGAGGGGGTTGGGGGACGTCAGTGAAAAAGAAGAAAGGGATAGAGAAGTACAAATAGGTAGTTACAAAATAGTTATGGAGATATACAGTATAGCATAAGGAATATAGTCAATAATATTATAATAAATATGTATGAGGCAGAGACATACTAGATTTACTGGGGTGATCACTTTGTGCATTATATAGATCTCTAATCAGTATGCTGTACACCTGAAACTAATATGATATTGTACCCCAACTATAAGTGAAAAATAAAAAAAAAAAATTTTAAAAGCTGGCAATTTAGGCTGTAAAAAGATGAAAAACTTTCCCTGTGAGACAATCGATACCAGTTCAGTCCTCTACATCTGTATATAACCCTTTGGGGCTCACAGCAAAATAAACTAGTCTCAGCCAATGGACAGCCTGATCATAGTTAAAAAGTAGAGAAGCAGGTGAAACTCAGTTTTTTCCAAGGGAAAAGCTACTTACAGCTACTGTAAGGGCTTCTTCCATTATCATTAGCATTGCTGACTTCATAAATGGCAGTAACATTTTCTTTCTAACCTTAATTCATGCTAAATTTCAGCAAATATCAAATGAGAGACGGAGATGACCAAGACATCTGAGCCATGGTATATGCTCACTACATAGGCAGAAAACCAAAAACAACTTGTCTAGAAGTCTTGAAAAGTCCAGCTTGCTCTGCCCTAAGTGCAATCAAATAGCAGAACACTGAATGTCTCCAGGTGGGAGCAAAGCAGATCAAGGAAACAAAACTTGTTCTGAAATAGGAACACGGAAGAAGCACTATTTGTTTTCTAGAATACAACATTTTGTAGACAAGAATTCCTGTAATAATTCAAGTTCTCAAGGTAGAGAGGAAGCGGAGGCTTATCACTAAGAGTTAGCACTGCATGAAGGGCACACTGTCTGTCTGGTACAGGAAGCATGTTGGTAGGCCCATTCCAACCCACTTACAAATGGAAAGCTGCTCAGCCTCATTACACAGCTGTTTATAGGAAGCAAATACCCTTTGTTTATTCTGTATTCTTTCACAACAGGGTATGGGGAAGAGAAAATATTCATTCAATATTAGATCAACCCCTAGCACCAGCAAAGAGCAGGGAAGCTATACCCTTTCCTAGAGGCACCTGACCATAAAGAATGGACCAACTACAACAAACTCAGAGCAAGTTTCTCAATGTAACAGGAGGGCCTGGCTCCCTCTGATGATTTCAGAGAATCTGGGGAAAGCAGTATAGAGGGGACTGCTGGCCAAATCAGAGCAAGTTACCTTTAGCTGGCAGCCCTGTCCAGGGGACAGAATGTATGGGAAAGATCCAGAACCTCTGGGGATGAACTCACTTTCGGACACACGGAAACTTCTGTTACATAAGTAAAGTGGCTCCTGCATGAAAGACAGATGATACAAAGTCATGGCGGTCCACCTCTCCAAGAAATGGCCTACAATGAGTGAAGATGATGATAGTAATAATATATTTGTAGACAACTCTTTTTATGCATATTATTTCATTTAAATCCTTAGAGAAACCTTATATAGCACCAATGATTCCCATTTCAAAGATTGAGAAACTAAGGCTTAAAAGGATTCAGTCACTTCCTTAAGCTGTAACTTGAACCCAAGTCAACTGGAAGCCATAGCCATGGTATTGCCCTTTGTCATTCATTCTTCTTAAAAAAAGAGCACATTGTAAATAATCTCCCATTTTCACTATAAAGACAACAAGTTTTATTTATATCTGAACTGGAGGGACCAATAGTTTGCCAATAGGATCTTCAGATTCCTCTGTTAGGGCAAATTTTTGTAGCTGCCTGGGCAATGTTGAGCCATTTATAGATGTAACTGCTTCACCTGGCTTTTAAGCAAAATTAAAGTATTCACATTTTTAAAATCAATGGAAAATATAAAAATAAACAGAATTTAAAAACCAAGAAAGAATACTAATGAGAAAGTGGGGAAAGGAAAGGGAGGAAAGAAAAGGGATTTAATACAATGGGAGGACTGCAGTGAAAGGATCCTGAAGTGAAGGATAAGCACCTTCAAGATTCAGAGAAACAGTCTGTGAAGTGTCCTAGGGCAGAGGGCCAAAGGTTTTGTCCATCTGCTTTTCACACAGAACTCTCAAATCCAGTCAAAGTACCACACACAGTCCTAGTAGTCTCTCCATAGCTTATCACGTATGTGCTTGCTGTTACTCAAGTCTAGAGAAAACAAAACAAGAAATTGTCTTTAATTGCTCTTCTCCTTCTAAGATTCCCTGGCTTGAGTCTAGCTGACCTACATCAAGTACTTAGTATCCACAAGATTCTTTTCTAATTGCTTTGTGTGGACCATCCTACTTAATCTTCACGATAACCATTCTCATGACCCACTGTGCAGATCAGGCCACAGAGGCACCCAACTGTTGGGTATGTGCCAGGGCCAGGATCTGAATGCAGCAGTCCAGCTTGAAACAGGCAGGACAATCACTTCAGGGACCCCTTCCCTGCACCCAGGCAAGCTGTATTATGCAAATTACAGTGTTGGCAACTGCAAAGGCTACTGCATAAAACATCACTAAGGGAAACACATGGACCTACTACCACGAAAGTACACATCTAACCTTAAATTGTCTTTTGAAAGTATAGAGATGGAACCCTAAGAACTCAGCATCAGAAAATCCAAACGGACACAAACAGAAAATTTTGAGAAAAACAATTGCACTATTAGACTCTTGAATTTAGCAAGTGTAAATAGCAGGCTTAAAATTTGCTAGGCACAGTTGTTTTCTGAGTTTTCCCCCAATATAAAAATACAGTAGGAACAGAGAATATTGTTTCTTTTTAAATATCTCTTCCAATTTCACAATACAGTATCAGTATTTATGTAATCTAATTTTCACAACAAACATTTTAAAGCTTTAAATAACAACAAATATAACTCCTCAAAATATTGTTGCTAAAACTGGGAAGATAAGCTGAATGTTTGAAGAAATGACCTCAGTAAGAAGACCCCATGAAGAGTGTCAGTGCTACAAACATTCCTCCAGAACTGCGAAAACATTCATCCTCAGCCCAATTCACTTGGCCCAAGGAAATACAGGAAACAATAAGCCACTTTTCCTTTCAGAAGTTCAACAGTGTTTCAAAGCTGCTTTCTCTCTCCTTCTTCATATAAACATGAGATAAACAAAAATCAATGAACTTCAAACTCTTATTTCACCTTTTCAAATTAAGAAATGCTCAAAGCCTCAGACTTAGGATTCACACATGTAAACACCTCACTTAAGTTGTTTTCCATCCAGTATCAAATAGAAAAACATACTATCAGAACCTTTTTAAAAAGTCCAATATAAATTTTTGTTTTCTTATTTTAATTACATTATTAATTATGGACTCTCCACATATCTTTATTTACTTATTTAAAATTACTTAAAAATATTAAAAATTCTACAAAACTGGTAGAAAGAATACTAAATTGATATTATTTTCTTGAATCTAGTCAGTGCTTCTAAGATAAGTAGCAAAAGCCTATTTCAAAACATAATGCCACTGGTCATCTCTGAAAATAGAATAAATTTTCCAGTTTTAGCTACACCAGCTTTCTATCCTAAAAGAAGAAAACATTTCCTCTGTGAAAATGCAAATCTCTTCTTACCCAGGAAAACAACATCCTTCCCATTTCCACAGGACCCTACTTCCTAACCATTTCAAAAACACAAATGTAATGATGCCAAGGTAAGTAGGAGGGACTTACAGTTGAAGATGCCCGGAGGTGGATGTTCAGTCACCAGGAGACAGTTTTCTTCATCACTGTTGTCCCCACAGTCATTCTGTTGGTTACAGACCAGTGAACCAAGATACAAGCATTTACCGCTGGTGCAGGTGAATTTGCACTCTGAAAAAGTACAATATAAAGCATGAAGCAGTCAATGCAAACTTGGTGCTCTTAGGTTATTTTTTTTTCTTCCCCATTTGTGCTCCATGACAGTTTGGGAACTCAGTCTATCTGGAGATACGAGGAAACTGAACTCAGAGAAAGATAATCTTGGTAAGGATCTTCCTTCTATGAAATGCACAGGATAGTGCCTCAGGGGCACTCCAGGGCCTGCTATACATTACTTACCCCACATTTCTAACCTCTGAAATGAGTAACACAGGTGCTTTCTTTCCATGACCTGTTCAGCAGAAGTCACAGCTATGAAGCTTGAAAAAACCCATGGCGGTTTTCCATGCCTCCAAGAATGAGGAGCCTGTGCAGCAGTGACTGGAGCTACAATAGAATTTGGGAGCTCAGGCTTGATAAAAGGAGGTGTATACATTTTATTTACAACTTGTCACTAGACGTTGTGAGGCTTTGAGCAAAATATTTAACCTATCTGGTGTTCATTAATCTCGTGCCTAAGAAAAACCAGGTTTAATACTAGGCAGGGGCAGCACTGACTTTATAATGTAAACATGGGAAAATAATGTGTGCTCTCTGCTACCTGAGAAGCATCTATTCCAAGGACCATGTGAGTGACTTAAAACAGGGATCCTCAACCCCTGGGCTGTGGACCGGTATCAGTTGGTGGCCTGTTAGGAACCTGGCCACACAGGAGGAGAGTGGCAGGCGAGCGAGCGAAGCTTTATCTGTATTTTCAGCCACTCCCCAGTGCTGGCATCACCACCTCAGCTCCACCTCAGATCAACAAGCATTAGATTCTCATGGAAGCACCAGTCCCTGGTGCCAAAAAGGTTGGGGATCACTGATAAAGAATAGGATGAAGCCCAACCCAAATCCCTGTAGGCTACATTGAACATGGGACCCCTGAAGTCTGTACAAATCAATATTTGAAAATGGAATTTACTTTTATAAGACTTTTAAATAAATTTGCAAACAATGTATTACTATCAATTTAAGCAATTAAGGATAAAGGAAATTACATAATTATATACACGTGAGCTCATAAACATCTATGCATATCTTACATTGAATATTAGCTTGCATTCTGTGAGTTTTTTCCTAGGAGCACCCACAGATTTGCATAATACATCCTACTCAGTAGGCAGCTGGTAGGAAAAAAAACTCAAGAAAAGCATACCAAGACCCCCATTGATGCTAACTATTATTACAGCCTCTTCATTTCTCCTCAACTTCGTCTGTCTAGAATATGGTGGCAGATTTGGATCAAGTCCAAGGTCTTTTCAAGTCTAAAATTCTGTTATTCAAATAAAAGATTGGGCATCAGAACACCAAGGCCTCCTCCAGCTATACTGAGGACACATGGGGCAGCAGAGGAAAACCCTTTACCTGTTGTAAAGAGACAGAACTTAAATCCTCAAAAGTATTCATTTCTGTGACCCAGTATGAAAGCGATATTAGAATTCTCCATTTGTTCTCATTCCGTTAAAAGAGTATAGAAAAAGACACATGCCACAACCCCCGACCTAATTTAGAATAACACGTGAATAGCACAACCACAAGTTCACATTGCTGGCTGCATAATCCTGGTTAAAAAAATCTGTGTGCTGAGTGTGATCCAGACCATGAAGTAGGAGCACTGCAGAAACCAAACTCTCTTCCCATAGGTGGAAAGATTAGAATCCAGCTGTTTGAAATTGCATTTATGAAGTGACTTTTTAAAAAACTTAATGGGGAAAATGAAAGAATTTATCTTTCTTTCCAAAAGAAATATTGGAGTTTGAATAAATACCAAACATGAAAAGGATGTTAAGCCGAAACAGGTATTCCTGATGTTGTTGAAATATTGATTGAAAAAAGGGAATACTACTTAAATTGAAGCAAACTCCAACTAAAAATTAACCATTGTTGTAGTTTGAAAGGATCTCAGGTTAGACTACTAAGTTCAAGTGGTACTTTAAACCAGCAAAAAAATAAAACCATATCCACACCTTACTCATTTCCACTTGTTCAACAGAGACCCAGTCTAGAGTATTACAATATTTTCAAAAAATGAATTATATAATTCATTCATTCATATAACCAATATTTTAGCACCTTCTATATTTTGTGCCAGGTATTGAGATGTGGAAACACAAAGATTAAAGAGCAAGCCCTCTTCAAAGGGCTTACAATGTGATTTTTTTTTTTAATGTGAGCAGTTACTAATATATTTGCTAACTCCTTCAACGAAATATTTTCCTTCTTGATATCCTTCACAACTAGAGTGCTATCCAACAACTAACAGGCTGGGCAGCACTCTAGGTGTGAAGGATATAAAGAAGGAATTTTGTTGAATAAATGAATGATCTAATCTGAGCCTCATGGGAACTCTGTGAAATAATTAGAGTATATATTATGATTCCCATTTTGTATATGAGGAAATTAAGATTCAGAGATTAAGTAATGCACTCGCAACTAAACTGCTAAAAAAAATGACAAAATACAGATGAGTATCCAAATTCTCTGCCTCTCTCTCATCTCAGGCTCTCTCCATCGCTGCCTCTCAGTTTTCAAATCTGCTTTCCTTTAATGAATGTGTAAGACTCATTTGTATTGAGGATGTCATTAATGTAACAAAGTTCTCAAAATACATTGTTTTCGTAAGTAGGCTTACCATTACTCAGGACACAATAACAAGGCTTATGGAAATATTAACATCAATCCATTGGATTTGAAATTCCTAAAATCTAAATCTTCATAACTATGAGTTATTAGCTGAATATCAAACTAAAGGTCTCTCCATCACATGGCTACTTGAATCAAAACTACTAGATTGAAATTTTGAACCTATCAACTTCTTGATGTGATATAGAAAATACTAGAAAATTGCTATAATGCTATTAAGTGTTAAAGATTAGTGCTAAAACTGGAATAAAATTTCAGATCAGAGTAAAATGTATGTCCAAGTTAGCATAATTAGTGTTAGTAGAAGGCAGGCTTCCAACTCAATCTTGATTCATCTTGCAAGGTCATCTCTGCCACACTTTGCTTCCCAAAAGCCCAGTATGTTCAAACGTTAAGGGATAGTCCTCTAATAACTAGGTTATTGTGATCTTTCAAACAAATAACCCTAGATGAGAGGCTCTGTGTCTGCATACTGAAATCACCCGGGCATCTTTCAACACTACTGATATCTGAGCTCCAGCCCAGGCCACTGCTCTCACTAGCCTGTGGTACACCCTGGGCACTAAAGGTTTCTAGAGATCCTTAGAATAATTCTAATGGGCATTCAAGGTGGAGAAACACTGCCTGGTGAATAGTAGTAACTCACTTATATTAAGCCCTCTCTTTAGATAATAGTATTTTATTGGAATGTTTAGTTAGTATTTGATAATTTACTAAAAAAGAAAAAACAAAACACTAAAAAACAATCTCTTAAAATAGGCAGGTATTTTGATGATTTCTGGATATAGGGTCTGATTGCTGCAGCTCTGTACTGTTAATGGGATATTTCAGAAACTTTGGGACCCAAAAACTCCATTTTGACACCCTAGAGCCAGGAAATGTCCTCAATGAAGTAAAACTCAAGTCAGGGAAATAAGATAGAAGAAAAAAAAAGTTTTATTATTATATTTTGTCCATTATTTGTGGAACTTGAGTATTTCTGTCAGAAGTTGAAGGAAATCAAAGATAGTTAAATATTGAAAATATTTTGGCTACAAATTCATGGTGATTTCAGATGTGTAATATTGGAATGGAATACAGAATGAACAATTTGAGAACCAGTTCTTCCTTCAAGAGCTATAGATTTAATTTTTTAAATTATAATATTTAAATAATTCTTCTTCTTTAAAGTCAGACTTTTTAAATAAAGAAAATGGCATTCCTTTCTGCCATAATTCTCTATGTGATTTCTAACAAAAAAAATTTCTAGGACCAGCAATAAATTTTAGAAATACATTATATACTCATAGAATAAAGAAATTTTTTCCCAAATATTGGGTTTCCTTCAATTTCTCTACATGCCTACATAAACCTTCTGATGAATTTCAGTGACTTTTAATTGTCATAGATTCATAAAATTCTGATGCTGAGGGGGCCCTAAAGACACAGTGGTCAAAGCTCTCATGTCACAGACAAGGAAATAGTCCAGAGCGAATTCCATCCAAAGTGGAGAACGAATTCCCTGTCATAGAACATAAAACTCAAGATTTCTACCAAATTGGGAGGAAAAAACCCCTTTTGTCTCAAATGTCATAATATGTACAAACTAATAGTAACCAATTGGAATATACTTTGTGAGAGAGGAGAAAGCAAAAGAATGACTAAGAGTAAGAAAATTTCCTAATATTTTGTGACCTTTATTAAAAAAAAAAGCAACTTTAAGAGTCCTGAAATCAGGCAAATAGAACATCTCAGGGTGTTCTGTGAATTTAAAACTTTTATACAAAAAAAAACTATATTAACAAAAATTTTAAGGACCAGTGGCTTAACAATTTGAATATTCTAAATCTAAACTTGGACAGGATTCAAAGATAAATGCTTAATCTTGACTTTCAGGAAAACAAATCTGCATCTCAGGGACCAAAGTTAATCCAGTTGGTAGAATCAACATTTTATTAGTTAAAGAGAAGCAAAAAGTACTTGAAATTTGTGAGGACGTAGATCTTAAATATTCTCACCACACACACACACAAAAAGAAATAGTAATTAAGCAATGTGATGCGGTTTTAGCTAATACCATGATGATGGTGGTCATCGTTTTGCAATATATAAGTGTACCGCATCAATACATACACCTTAAACTTATACAATGTTATATGTCAATTTTATCTCAATATAACTGGGGGAAGCTAACAAAAAGTTTTTCTCAATTTTTCCTACACTCTTTTTAAAGACTTAGTTTTCACAGATATGATCTTAGTCACAAAATAAAGACCTATATAGAGTATTAAATCACAACTGTAAAATCAGTCTTTTTGTGTGTGTGAATTGGCAAAGTAGTCTACCATAGCT